GGGATTGGGGGATGGACGTGGATGGGTGGATGGGAAGATGGGAGTGATGGGGGGATGGGAGTGATGGGTGGATATGGGTGGATGGCGGGATGGGGGAATGGGGTGGATCGGTGTGGATGGGGGTGGATGGGGGTGGATGGGGGTGGATGGGGGACTGACTATACCAGGTTGGCAGCTGCCTGCCTGGCTGATTGATTGATTGATTGATTGATTGATTGATTGATTCACTGATTGATTCGCTGATTGATTGATTGACTGATTGACCGATTGATTAGCATGTACTTCTAGGTCGTTGATTGCTTGTTCATCCATTCATCGATTGAGAATTGATTGATTGATCGCTAACTGATTTGACATTGTTTTCCTTGATTAAATAGTTCATTGTAAGTGATTATCGACGGATTGGGTGAAAGCAAAATAGCCCTAACTGACACACCTGAGGGGTGCCGATGGACGGATCCTTTCAAAACGAACAAGAGATCGTTGCTGAGGACGATGAAAGTCACCATAGCCAACGCCATCATCACCATGTACCCCACGGAGCACGCGCCCCCTCCCGCCAGCGCCGACCCCCGCGGCTGGCCAAATCGGGACCGCCGCAGCATCCGACCGGGACCCCATCGGGGACTTGGTGCCGGACCTGATCGCGGACTCGGAACCGAACTGTACAGCATAGGCGCCAGATTGACACGTGGCCGTCGTTACCCCTTCCCCCCCTCCCCCTCCCCCCCTCCCCCCCTCGCGCCCTTCCCGCCCTCTTTGTCTTCTGTTTCCCCCTCCGCTGTCGTCAAGCCCACCGGATCACAAAGAAATCGATTGGTTGTAAATTTGCCCTCTCACTTCATTCATTGACCCCTCCACCAGCCGAGCCGAGCGACCTGACCCCATCGGCCCACTGACTATCAGATTAGCATCGACGTTCCCCCCTTCCCCCTTCATTCATTGACCCCTCCACCAGCCGACCCGAGCCGAGCCGAGCGACCTGACCCCATCGGCCCACTGACTATCAGATTAGCA